AGAGTTCTTGGAATTCAATGAAAATGACAATACAACACAACACAACCTCTGGGACACTTTAAAAGCAGACCAAAGAGGGAAGTTTATAGTTCTAAGTGCCTACATTAAAAAATTAGAAAGAGCCTAAATAAATGACCTAACATTGCAACTCAAGATGCAGGAAAGGTAAGAAAAAATGAAACCCAAACCCAGCAGAAGAGAAGAAATAACAAAAACCAAAGCAGAAATTAATGAAATAGAAACAAAGAAAACAATACAAAGAATCAATGAATCTAAGAGCTGGTTCTTTGAAAAGCTAAAGAAGATAGACAGACCCTTAGCCCAGTTAACCAAAAGAAAGAAAGAGCAAATCCAAGTCAACAAAGTCAGAGATGAAAGAGGAAACATCACAACAGACGCCCAAAAGATCCAAACCATTATAAGGGAATATTTTTAAAACCTATACACTACTAAATCTGAAAGTCTAAAAGAAATGGATGGATATCTGAAATCATGGGAACCACCAAAGTTAAACCAAGGAGAGAGCAACAGTTTAAACAGATCCATAACATACAAGGAAATTGAAACAGTAATACAAAGCCTCCCAACTAAAGAAAGCCCAGGTCCACATGGATTTATAGCAGAATTCTGCAAGACATTTAAAGAAGACCTCCAACCAATACTACTTAAATTATTCAAAATGATAGAAACAGAGAGAGAACTCCCAAATTCCTTCTATGAAGTCAGCATCACTTTAATACCCAAACTGGGTAAAGACACAACCAAAAAAGAAAACTATAGACCCATATCCTTAATGAACATAGATGCAAAAATTCTTAACAAAATACTTGCAAACCGCATACAGACACACATCAGAAAGATCATTCATGATGATCAAGTAGCTTTATCCCAGAGATGCAGGAATAGTTCAATATATGTAAGCCAATAAACGTCAAAATCATATAAATGGACTCAAAGACAAAAACCACATTGTCATCTCAATAGATGCAGAAAAGCCTTTTGACAAAATTCAGCATGCATTTATGTTCAAATTCCTAGAGGGAACTGGACTGGAGGGAACATACCTCAACATAATTAAAACTATATACAACAAACCCCATTCTAAATGGAGAAAATGGAAGCATTCCCATTAAAATCAGGAACCAGACAAGGATAGCCACTATCTCCACTCCTTTTCAACATAGTGCTTGAAACTCTTGCTAGAGCAGTAAAACAGGAGAAGGAAATTAAAGGAGTACTAATTGAAAAGAGATTAAACTATCACTTTTTAGGCTCAGCAGCTAAGAGCACTGTCTGCTCTTGCAGATGACCCACCTTCAATTCCCAGCACCCATATGGTGACTGACAACCATCTGTAACTCCAGTTCCAAGGAATCCAAGGCCTTCTTCTGACATCTTCTAGACACAAATAACAAGCAATTGGAGAAAGAGTACAGGGAAATGCTCCCATTCGTAATTGTTGCAAAAATAAAAAATATCTTGGAATAAATCTGACCAAAAACACCAAAGATCTCTACAATGAAAACTTTAAATCGTTAAAGAAAGAGATTGAGGAAGATACCAGGAGATGGGAGGACCTCCCATGTTCATGGATTGAAAGAATTAATATTGTTAAAATGACCATCCTACTGAAAACAATATATAGATTCAATGCAATCCCAATCAAAATCCCCATGACATACTTCACAGAATTAGAAAAATGCATCCTTAAATTCATATGGAGGCACAAAAGACCCCAGATAGCCAAAGCAACCTGAACACAAAGAGCAACGCTGGGTAGATTACTATACCAGATCTCAAAGTATACTACAGAGCCAGAGTCAAAAAACCAGCATGGTACAGGTACAAAAACAAACACATAGATCAATGGAACGTCATTGAAGAGCCAAACCTGAGTACAGGCAATTTCAGCCACCTGATATTTGACAAAGGTACGAAGAACACATAATGGAGGAAAGACAGCATCTTCAACAAATGGTGCTGGCAAAACTGGATCTCCACCTGTAGAAGAATGAAACTAGGTCCTTATTTTTCACCTTGCACAAAAATCAACTCTAAATGGACCAAAGACCTCAATGTGAAGCAGGAGACCCTGAAACTATTAGAAGAAAATATTGGCAGTATCTTATAAGATGTAGGTGTAGGAAAGGGCTTTCTAAATCAGACACCAGTTGCTCAGGAATAAGGTCAACAATCAACAAGTGGGACCTCATTAAACTAAAAAGCTTCTGTACAGCAAAAGAAACAATCAAGTGAAGATAAAACCCAGAGTA